TTTTTCGAAAATTTTAAAAAATTTGAAATTTTTTTCTAAGATATCCCCAAGAGATACGTTCCAAACTCGGTGAATGCCTCTCCCTGTCTCTGCCGGACTCGGCCTCTTATCTCACCCGTTGGCTGCACCAACCGGCGTTTGCAGGTCGCGATCTTTGTCGGTGAGGGTCTGTCTTACGTGTTGACTGCCGCACCTTGGCTCCTTAGAGACGACACGTCAGAGACGTGTCATACAGAGACTGAGTCATGCACAGACCGCATTCGTCAGACACAGTACATCAGAAAGTCTGACAGAGACTGATACGGCAAGGCATCAAGTGGTGAAATTTTTAAAAATTTCATAATTTTCAAAAAATCAAAAAATGCTGGAAATTGTATAAAAAACGCACAAAACCAAAAAATTAAAAAATTCACATTCAATTTTTTTTGAAAATTTTCAAGTTTTTTTGGTTTTGTGCGCTTTTCAGACAATTTCCAGCATTTTTTGATTTTTCGAAAATTTTGAAAATTTCAAATTTTTTCACAAGTCACCCGAAGTGATGCATGCCAGCCTTCGGTGAATGCCACTGCCTGTCTCTGCCAGACTCGGCCTGTATCTCACGCAGTTGACGACTGCCTCGATGTCTTCATCAATCGGTCTCTGCAGGTCCACGTGTGTGGCCGACCGTGTCTGCCCGTCTCAATCTCTGCCTTAAGAGCTGTCTGCTGCCCCTGGGATTTTCAGAGACTGCACTTCTGAGACCGTATGAGGCAACGACCGCCTTCTTCAGAGACAGGGAAGATAAGAGAATCCGACGGAGACCGGTCCTGCAAAGCATTAGGTGGGGAGAATTGTGAGAGAAATTTTGAAAAATTCTAAAATTTTCGGAAGATCAAAAAATGCTCGAAATTATCTAAAAACGCACAAAACCAAATTTTTGAAAAATATCACATTCAATTTTTTCTTCGAATTTTTCAAAATTATTTGGTTTTGTGCGCTTTTCGGACAATTTCCAGCATTTTTTGATTTTTCGAAAATTTCAAATTTTTTTCACAAGTCACCCAAAGATATGCATGCCAGCCTCGGTGAATTCCACCGCCTGTCTCTGCCGGACTCGGCCTCTATCTCACACGGTTGCCGACTGCCTCCGTCTTCATCAATTGGCCTCTGCAAGTCTAGGTGTGTGGCCGACCGTGTGTCTGCCCGGATCGATCTCTACCTTACGAGCTGTCTGGTGCACCTGGGCTTTTCAGAGACTGCACGTCTGAGGAAACGACCGCCTTCTTCAGAGACAGAGTAGATACGAGACAATCTGACAGAGACCGGACCTGCAAGGCATCAATCGCATCTAACCTTCTTCCGTTATCCAGTGTCTCTGCAATGTCCTGGCAAACTGTGATTACTTGACTTCCACATGAATATCCCGGCCTGAACCCATGTTGACCCTCGA